TAACCGGCTTATTATATTGAAGCGTGAGGAACACCTAATGTAATACACCATCGCTCTACGGAATAAAAACAAATTCCCAAACGGACCTGAATCAAACAAGGACTCGCTACATTATGGTATGATTTTGATCGCGGCAGCAACGATTGGTTAGATCGTTGAGTAGAACAGAAGTCTATAGAGGATTTAAGAAAAACACAACGGCAACGGGAACGTCGCTAAACAAAAAGTTTAATGGGCAGAGCAGTGGCTTTGCACGTGCGTTACAATTCTTGGTATATTTCTTTTCCGTTCTCTGCAAACCAACGACGCGAAATAACCAAATTCTGCGTTGCGTGGAGAACGTGAATCACGACGGGTAATTTTTAAAATTTAAATTGCGAATTTTTCGCTGTATTCCATGTTCAGTTTTGAGATAGCTTTGACAAAGAGAAACATACTAAATGATTTTAGAGTATCGCCGACCAAACCACGATGACGACGGCAACGATAACGTCACCAAACAAAAGGTTTAATGAGTGAAACAATAGCTGTGCACGTGCGTTAAAAATCTTTGTACATTTCTTTGCCGTCCTCTGCAAAACAAGATCGTGAAGTGACCAAGTTCTGTGTAAGCCTGGGGAACGCGAACGACGACGGCTAAGTTTTCGTATTTCCATTTGGAATTGAACGCTGCCAGTGTATATTTAGCCTTAGCACAGGGAGCACGCTATCTTGCTGAGTAGGAAGGGAGTAAATAAAGGAATGAAGAGAATGAATAGTTTACCTTTATCTCCAGTTGTCATCTCTCACGCGACCCCGCTACCTACAAGTCCTGCGTAACACTGTAGCGCTAAACTCGTACCTAGGCCTTTTCGCGCTGTGCAAATTTTTGTTTGGTTTACATATAATATTAACAATAATATTTGCTCAGAAATGAATATATTCCCTAATAATATTTGCTCAGAAATGACACACCATCTTTACTTTACATTGATTATAACATTTTATTTGTAATATATGTTTCGTTTCTAGTGGTATGCCTTGGAACCAGCTATAGCTCGAACCTCTAGTGAATTGAACCTCTTGTCTTTTTATGTAGTTTTAATGAACATTGTAGAGTACCAGACCACCAATGAAAACAAGGGAGCTTGCTTTAAAGCCAAAATTGATTAACAAACAATCCAAAATTAGTTCTTTTTTTTGAGGGCCCCTCTGAAAACCGCCATGGCGAGTTGGGTTCCCTCGTTAAATTATAGTAATAATAATAATAATAATAATAATAATAATAATAATAATAATAATAATAATAATAATAATAATAATAATTTAAATTTAAAAATTAACTTTATTGAGCACTTTTCCATACAAACTTGAATCTTACATGTATCTGGTAAAAAATAATAATAATAATAATAGT